AAAAAAAAAACTATCTAGTCTACCTGAACTTCCTAACCATGCCAAAATCGGAAAACAAGTCTCTAATGATACCACATGATATATTACATTCTTAGTCCATTTTCGTTATCAATCTCTAAGTTCTTTCTTGAAGCCACATTACTCTCCTATTCTTTTAGTCCTAATAGTGCTCTAGGCTCAGTGTTTAACTGTTAACCTCAAAGCTGGCAGTTCAAACCCACCGGATGCGCATGGAAGAAAGAAGATGAGGCTGTCTGCTTCCATAAAAAGTTAGTCTTAGATACTCTATCAAAGGTTGCTAAAAGTTGGAATTGACTTATGACATTTATTATTGGAGGGAGGCGGGTGTTATTCTTTTAGCACAAGACTTTGTTCCCTTATTTTTTGAAAACCGAAGCAACTAGATGAGAATTTAAAATTTTCACAATTTCCCTTGTACCTGAATTTACATCTACATACTCATCTTCTACTTATCATGTTTCTATCTCAAGCTTGACTTGTTTATATGAAAACCTATCCTTTCTCAAACATTCTAGAAATTGTTTCTAGTAATTCTCTAGAATATTCTTAACAATATCAGCATGCTTCCATCATTTAAAAAAATGACTCTAAGAGTTATTTAAACTTTCTATGCATAATTATCCTTCTCATTTCAATTAAGCTTATACTCCATTGTATTGATACTGCTTCTCACCGACAATGAATTGTGCATGGCCAAGTCAATGGTCAACTCTCAATCTTCAAGTTACTGCATCTAACATGATTCAATTTCTCTTTGATACATTTTCTTCACTTAGTTTCAAGTTGCCATATTTCCTTAATTTATGTCATACTTCATTGGTTTCTATTCTTAATCTCTTATACGGCCTTCTCAAACTCCTGATGTTAGAATGTGCCTGAGCTGTTTTTGGTTCTTTCTACAAACATTCTCTTTTAATACAGCCTATTAAGTATAAAAGGGAGCCCCTGTGGTGCAGTGGGTTACATGTTGAGCTTGCTACAAAGCCAGCAGTTTGAAACCAGCCTCTCATTGAAAGAATAATGAGGCTTTCTGCTCCCATAAGAGTGACAGCCTTAGAAACCCACAGCAACAGTTGTGCTCTGTCCTAGTCACTACAAGTTGGAATAGACTTACAAACATCACACATGCTGAGGACTCACCAACATGTAACTGCAACCCAAACCTAGAATCTAATATGTGTATCTAAACTACTAGTGGACAGCTCTCATCAGATGCTTACTAAGCATTTCAATTTCAATTCAGAAATAAAACCACTGATCCTTTTTCCCAAAATGAGACCCACTTGGAGTCTTCTTATTTTAGTTGACATTAACTCCATTCATCTAGTTTCTCAGGTAAAAAGTATTGGAATCTGCCTTAACCCATATTTCTTATCTTCTAGATCCAAGCCACTGTTTACTTTCACTTTCAAATTGTATCCAGAACCTAACATCTTCTTAGCACCTCCACCGCTGTCACCATGGTCCAAGCAACCACCACTTCTAGCCTGAAATAACCTTTCACCAGACCTCCCTTTTCCCTCTCCTATTGCCCATCCTACAGTCGACTCTCAAAGCAACTGCCAAAATGATCCTTTTCTGCATAAATCACATTATTTCATTCCTTTGCTCCAATGCTGACCCCATAAAAATGCATTACTTAAAATTTTTCTGCCACATTAAGAACTCGCTCCCCTACCCCAGGTAAAA